ACTGATTTGATCTTGGCAAGATAAGCTATCATGGAGGGCTCTTTGGCCTCATAGCTGCCACTGATCTGATATGCAACTAGCTGAGAGTCTGTTTTTAAGCAGACATGATCGGCTTCCAAGGAGATGCATAATTGTAGGCCGGCGATTGCTGCCTCATATTCGGCTTCATTGTTCGAGGCCTTAAAAGAAAATTTTAGTGCATACTCAAAGGATTTGCCTTCGGGAGAAGTTATCACTACTCCTGCCCCCGAACCGTTCTCGGTGGAAGACCCATCCGTAAACACGGTCCAGACTTTCTTGTCATTGTCCAGCACTTCTTGGTATGAGCATTCGGCCAAGAAATCCGCCAGGGCTTGAGCCTTAATGGCAGCCCTCGGACGGTAGCTGATGCTGAATTCGGTGAGCTCAAAAGCCCACTTGGCTAGCCTACCGGATTTTTCAACCTTGCCAAGAACTTTTTCCAACGGCTGATCAGTTAAGACCACTATCTGATGGCAATCAAAATAGGGCCTCAGCTTCCGAGCAGCTACCACTACCGCGAAAGCAACTTTCTCGAGTAGAGGATAGCGGGTCTCGGCATCCGTCAGTGTATGACTGACGAAATAAATCGGTTGCTGACTCTTACTCTCTTCCCTCAGCAATACTGCGCTGATGGTGGCTGGGCTAACGGCCACATATAGGTATAGAGTTTCTCCTTCAACTGGGCTAGCCAGCGTTGGGAGTTGAGCCAGATGCTCCCGAAGCTGTTGAAAGGCGTCTTTTTGCTCTTCCTCCCAAACAAGCTCTTTTGTTTTCGGGAGTTTCAGGGCTTTGAAGAAGGGTAACCCCTTATCCGAAGCTCTGGAAATGAACCTCGAAAGGGCTGCCATTCTTCCGGTGAGCCGCTGAACATCCCTCTTCGTTTTCGGCTCAGGAAGGTCGAGCGCCGCTTTGACTTTAGAGGGATTGGCATCAATCCCCCTTTTGCTGACCATGAAACCCAGGAATTTCCCTGACTTCACGCCGAAGACACACTTCTTCGGATTCAGCTTCATTTGATGCTTTCTCAAGGTGGCGAAAGTTTCAGCCAGGTCCTTTACATGGTCCTCTAGTTTTTTGCTTTTGACGATTGAATCGTCAACATAGACTTCCATGTTTCGGCCCTTTTGATCGGCAAAAACTTGATCCACCAGCCTTTGATAGGTTGCCCCCGCATTTTTCAATCCGAAGGGCATCATTTTGTAATTATACACCCCAGCGTTCGTGACGAATGCTGTCTTGGCTCGATCGTCGGGGTGCATAAAGATCTGATGATACCCCGAGAATGCGTCCATGAAACTAAGCAAGGCATGGCCACTTGTCGAATCGACTAGCTGATCGATTCTTGGCAAGGGATAGAAATCCTTTGGACAAGCCTTATTTAGGTCCGTGAAATCAACGCACATCCTCCAGGTACCATTGGGCTTCTGAACCATCACCACATTTGCCAGCCATTCCGGATATTGACAAGGTTCAATGAACCCCGCCTCCAATAATTTTTTGACTTCGGCTGCGATGTCTCGGTTCTTATTGGCGGAGTAATTCCGCTTCTTTTGCTTAACTGGTCGACATGCTGGGTCAACATTAAGCTTATGGGAGATGAGGTCTGAACTTATCCCGGGCATATCAGCTGCCGAGAAAGCAAACACATCTCTGTTGTCCCGAAGGAGTTGAATAAGTTCACAACGGGTGTTCGGATCAAGGTCCATCCCGATTGTTACACATTTCTCAGCATCTCCTTCGGCCAACTCAACTGTTTCAGTCTGTTGATCCATGTCCATTGCCGATGGACTGGACTCTTCAGAATCTGGTCTGCTGCCAATGTCAGCAGGTGTCCCAGTCTTTGTGTTCTTCGGATGGCTCTCTGAGTCTTGCGGCTCAGCTGAAGAGTCAACCTTCTCCCTTTCGGGACCTTTTTCTCTGGGCACGGATCCTTGGGCCGAAGCACTTAGGCCTTTCGGCTTTTTTGTGCTTGGCTCTCTTTCTTTTTCTTTCTCCTCCTCATCCCTGTCGTCATCTGGGCGACTACTGGATGGCTTGAGGTAGTTGCACCTTCGGGCGTCTTTTTGGTTGCCCTGTATCCTTTCGGGGAAGCCGGCGTCTGAGACGTAAATCATCAGCTGATGATAAGTTGAGACGACCCCTTGGATCTCGTGAATTATGGGTCTCCCCAAAATCACGTTGTACACTGAAGGAGCGTCGATGACCAAAAACTCAATCATGACGTTCCGGGCTGCCTCATCGCAACCGATGGTGACAGGAAGTGTCACCTTCCCATCTGGATAAGTTGAAGCCCCATTGAACCCGGATACCGGATAGGGTACCGGCGTAAGGTGCTTGGGCTTCAGCTTAATTTGGTTGTAGGCCTTTCGGAACAGAATGTTTGCTCCGCTGCCACCGTCAACAAGGACCTTACTGACGTCGTGGTTGGCCACCGTGGCGATGATCACCAACGGATCCTCGTGAGGGTACGTAATCCCCGGCAGTCGGCGGCTGTGAACGTCATGTTCGGCACCGGCGACTGGGGAGATTGAATGTCAGCGTTGTTCACCTGGTGAGTCAAAGCTCTAAGGTGACGCTTGTGCTCCCTCCGAGAGTATATTCCTCCCGAGATAACATTGATCGGAGGGAATTTCCCCTCCGGTTTTTTACTGTTTTTCCGGGGGAAATCAAGGTCCTGCCGAGGGTCCTTTGCTAGCCTCTCGGATTCTTTTTTCTCGCGGTGATCCGCGATGTATTTTTTCAAGTATCCCTTCCGGACCATGTCCTCTATCTGGTCCTTCAGCTGGATACACTCCTCAGTGTTGTGGCCCGAAGACTCGTGGAACTCACACCACTGATTTTTATTTTTTCGCTGATACCACTCTGGGAGTGGTCTCGGCTTTCGGTAACTCTGCTCCTCCTTCGTCACACTGTAAATTTTGGCGCGTGGAAGAGAGAGCGGAGTGTAGGACTCATATCTGCCTGTGTACGAGGCAAACCTGTCCTTCTTTAGGTCGCTGGCCGGAGATGGCTCCGGAGCCTTTGATTTTCCCTTTGCCTTATGGCCTTGGCCTTCAGACAAAGGTATTTGCCTCTGTTTCCCTCCCCCGGATTGAGGTTGGGTTTTTGCTTTATTCCATTCTTCGGCTCGGATGAACTTATCCGAAGCACTAAGAGCTTCCTCCAAGGTCTGCGGGGTATGCATGACCATGAAGTCTAGGAATTTTCCTGGCTGAAGGCCATTCTGCATTGCAAAAACAGCTAGCCCCTGGTCCAGCTGAGAGACGCTTGATGACTCGTTACTGAAACGGGTCAGGTAGTCTCGGAGGCTTTCAGTTTCCCCCTGTTGCAGACCCATGAGCTCTGCAGTAGTCTTCTCTCGGCGGTTTGCCGTGGAAAACTTGCTCCTGAACTTGGAGGACAGATCATCCCAACCTGTTATGGAGCCTTGCCTTACTCCCTTGGAGATCCACGCTTGCGCGACCCCCTTGAGAGTGGTTGGGAAATATTTGCACCAAGTCGCCTCGGATCTGGGGCAAAGATGCATATGAGTCTCATACGAGGCCACGTGGTCCTTCGGATCCGTGGTCCCGTCATATGTGATATGCGACGGTATTTTAACCGTGGGTACGCGCTCTTCCAGTATCCATTGCTCGAATGGTGAACTAGCGGGAAGCATAATGGCCTTGCCCTTGTTCCTGGCCGAAGGGACCGCGCTCCGCCCTCTTAGAGAGGTAGGAGTGGTTTTCGTCCCTGGCTGGGAAGTCTGGGCCTCGGCTGCAGGGAACGTGAGGCGACTACGCACGCTCGGTTCCTGGCCGCCGAGTCGGTCAAGGACGCTTCTGCGAGCAGTCTCGGGTTCCCGGCGAGTAGATTCTGGCCGAGAAGCTGAGCTGCTGCTCTTATGCGCTGCTGGTCTTGAGGATGAGGATCCTTTAAATAATTGAGAGTTCTTTTTCCTCTGTTTTTCATTTTTCCAAGAATCCTCCTCCCACTCTTCCAGTTCCCGGAAGGAAGGAAGCTTCCCACCGTCATGGTCTAACTTCCTCCGCTGATGCCGGGTATGCGGAGGAGTTTGATCACGAGGCGGTGGCATATTCTGTGCCCTCATTGCCTCCATGAGTACTGCCAGCGCTCTTGCCACCTCTTCCGAACTGGGCCCCGTCAAAGGGGTCCCCGGCCGAGGGTGGTAATGAGGCCGTGCAGCCGATGGTTGGCTTTGGGACACTGAATATGTCCTATGATCAGACTGACCCCTGCTAGACCGAGAGTGGTCCGGCCTATATTGAGAGTCATGCATTATAGGAGATAGGGAATCCTCCTTGTGTGATCCTCCCCCCGAGCCGGCACCCTTGGGAGAGTTCCGGTCCGGCGAGGGCGATGGTGTAGGGGTTTTAGGCTTTTCGCCCGCTCCTTGACGGAGGCTTTTGCTCTTGCGGTTCTTAGCCATGGCTGCTAAGATAATTGCAAGATGATCTTGGTTAGGAATTTGGCTTAAAGATTTTTGAAAGTCTTCCCCACAGACGGCGCCAAATTGTTTCGGTTGAAAACAATGGGACCTTGCCGAAGGTCCGCTGAAATGGAGAAGACTGGATTCGGTCCAAGTTGTGTTGGGCCGAAGGTTTACTGCACAGTGAACACACGTAAACTAGCCTCGGGGGTGATTCCGAGGAAGGCCCCTCCGATGCTAAAGTCAGTACAATGTGTAAAAAGAAGACACTATGCAAGAGAGTTTGTAGCTTGAGGCTTTTGTGGAATATTTCTGAATGCAAGAATGAGCATATGAATTGCAATGTGAATGTCTGTCCCCTCTTTGAATGTGTCAATATGATGGCTTTTATACCTCATCATGCATGGAGAGATTGGGCTTTAGCCCAATTGGCTTACTTTGTGGGCTGACCTTTGACTTTTGAGCAATTGGAGAGTTGAACCTTGACCTTGGGCTTTTAATTGGATCATTTAGTGCCTAGGCCCAATTTTGACTAAATTGGACCCAAACACTATCTATTCTTCAAAGTTTCTGAGTTTGTTCTTGGTAATTTTTTTGAGCAATGGAGGGATTAATGGTGGTTTTCGACTTCGATAAAACGATTGTCGACTGTGATAGTGATAATTGGGTTGTTGATGAATTGGGTTATACACAACTCTTCGATCAACTCGTAAAAATCATGCCTTGGAACACTATGATGGTTAGTTTTTTGTTCGATTAAATTAAAATTATGTTTTTCCTCTGTTTTTATTCTTTTGTTCATGAGATTTGATATATTGTACTTATGTTTTGTTGATCATGTAACAGGATACATTGATGAAAGAAATGCATACACAAGGCGTAACAATCGATGACATTGCACGAGTCTTGAAAAGAGTTCCGATTCATCCTCGTGTTGTTCCCGCAATCAAAGCCGCCCACGCTGCAGGGTAATTTTAATTTCAATTCTCTCGTTTATGTTCTCTTTATCAAGAATTTATAGTCATGTTGATAATTGATACGCTTTTAAAATTTATAGCCATGTTGATAATTGATATGCTTTTAAAATTATTGATTTTATGACTAAATGTTAAATGTTTATTTACGTGTAGGTGTGATCTGAGAATTGTAAGTGACGCAAATATGTTCTTCATTGAGACCATACTAGATCATCTTGGGTTAAAGGATTGTTTCTCGGAGATTAACACGAATCCGGGTTATGTTGACGGAGAAGGGAGATTAAGGATTTTGCCGATACATGATTTTACTAAATCTCCTCACGGATGCAGTAACCCCTGCCCTCCAAACATGTGCAAGGTAAATATATTTTGTAACAATTATTTATCAAACCTTAATGTATAAATTAAATTAAATGTTATGTTATATGTTGATGTCTAATTATTTGTTATAATTTGAATTAATCTCAGGGTTTAGTGATAAAAAGGCTATTATGTGAACATGGAAACAATAAGTTCATCTATTTAGGAGATGGAATTGGAGATTATTGCCCTTCCTTAAGGCTAAGAGAAGAAGACCATGTTATGCCAAGGTTCAACTTTCCAGCATATGATATGATCTCAAGTAATCCAATGCTTATCAAAGCCAAGATCCATGGATGGGCCGACGGCGGCGATCTCGAGCGGGTTCTATTGGCTCTCATCCAAGATAATATCAACTGTGGAGATGATTATAATGTTGATCAATTATTCAAACTTGATTGCAAGCTTGAGATTTTGCCTGTTACTTCTGATATAGAGTTGCGGCCTAAGGTTCTATGTGTTCCTTTTTAAGAAAGTGGCTAACTTCTGTAATACTCTAAAAAAAGGAAGAAAGAAAGTTCAATGTAGTTTTTGTTTTGTAGGGAGTAGAATCAAAGATTCAAAGCTATAGAGGAATTGTTTAAGGTTTTGATCTGAGGATTATGTATGTAATTAACCTTTGTTGCCCAATTGAGCAACTTATTCAATGAATGAAATTGTACTTTTAGTGACTCTTATTGCCATCTCTATATTCTCTACTAATAGTAATGAAGAAAAGTTGAAAAACTTGTTTCTCTGATTAGTTAATTAAAGATATTTTGCTTGTCAATCTAATTTAGGTCATTCAAATTAACATTTAAGCTCCTATTCTCTACTCCCGGAATGTCTCTCCTGAGCAGCAAGTTGAAATCAGCAAGGGCCTAGGCATGGAAACCACGACTGACTTGGGTTTTTACTTGGGAATGCCAACACTTTCAAGCCGTGTAACTCGAGAAACTTTCGCCCATTTGTGTGAAAAAATTGATAGACGCCTTTTGGGATGGAAAACCAAATATTTATCACTCGCGGGGCGTATCACTCTCACTAAGTCCACCATCACCACCATGGCAAATTACTCTATGCAAACCGCAAAAATACCTCGCACAGTCTGTGATGATATCGATAAACGAGCAAGAAGATTTGTTTGGGGTGGTACGGAGGATAAAAGGCGCATACACCTGCTCTCATGGGACACTCTCCAATTACCGAAAGACAAAGGAAGTATTGGCATTCGCTCTGCGAGACAAGCAAATTCAGCTTTCTTAACTAAACTTGGCTGGAGAGTTCTTACAGAACCACAGACCTTATGGGCTAGAGTATTACGCCACAAATATTGTCAAGGTAGGAGTGATATCGAGATGTTCACCCCTAAGAACAATATGTCGAATCTGTGGAGAGGGATTACTGACAATGTGAATTGGCTGAAGAAAGGATCAAGGGTGGCAGTGGGTAATGGCCGTACTACGCTGTTTTGGGATCATTGTTGGGCGTCTGATGTGCCTTTGCGTGACCATACTACTGCTATCATTCCAGAATCTTTAGATGGGGCAAAAGTAGAGGATTTATGGGACCTGAATCAAGGTTGGAGATGGGAACTTTTTGCGCACCTACTATAAGATTGGGAAAAGTTATTATTATTCTCCATGAGGCAAAATGTATTTATAATACAAGCTACATCAAGCAGCTAGACTAGACTAGGTACAAGATAAGGATAAATAACAAATAGAGTACAAAGCTAACAAACTAAATATATGCAAAACTATCTTTACGTATAACAACTCTAACAATAAGATAAGGTTAGACACTGTCAACTCTTATCTCCAACATGCCCCGCAATACGGACTGTCTTTCAGTGAGTCCGATCTTGGCTAGTATACCATCTAGTTTTGGTCTGGATAGCGGTTTGGTAAGAAAGTCAGCAAGCTGATCACCCGTAGGAACATGCGTGACCCGTAACGAACCACTTTGTACTTGCTCTCTAATGAAGTAAAATGCAATGGCAAGATGCTTCATCTTTGAATGGAACACCAGATTTGCACTCAAATGAGTTGCACTAAGGTTGTCACAATAAATGACTGGAACTTGAGACAAATGAACACCCAATTTTGTTAATAAGTTCTTAATCCACATTACCTCTGATGTTGTTGCTGCAACCGCCCTATATTCGGCATCGGTAGATGTTAGAGATATCGGAAAATATATGTGTGATATATTTTCCGTAGATATCATTTAAGAGAATAATATATTTAATTAGGATATTTATGTTAAGATATTATTTTGAGAATATATCTTTAGGGTTTATGGTTAGACGTATATCTTTTAGGAAGATTGTTTCCTATCTTATAAGCTTAGGTTTTGTATAAATACTCAACCTATTGATGAATAATAATCCAGTCATTCTATTCTATTTCTCTCTAATTTGTCAATAGAGGATGTTGCTAGTGACTTTTGCTTCTTTGAGCTTCATGTGATGGGGGTACGACCTAAGAACACAACATGACCCATTGTGGAAGTGTAATCATCTTTGTTGCCTGCCCAATCGGCATTGGAAAAAGCATGAAGTATAGGAGGTGACTCACGATAGATTGTAAAGCCTTTGTCTAGTGTACCACACAAGTAGCGCATGAGCCGTTTAAGAGCAAACCAATGATCTGTGGTTGGACAATGCATGAATTGAGACAACTTGTTCACGGCAAAGGCAACATCGGGCCGAGTCAAGGTAAGATATTGTAAACCACCAACGGCTGCTCGATAATCCTTAGGAACTTCAAGAGGGGTTCCCGAAGATGCAGTTAATGTGTGTGTAACTACCATTGGTGTAGGACATGGTTTCGCGTCTTGCATTCCGAGTCGCTCAAGGAGGTCCAGTATATACTTCCTTTGGCTTAGAAAAAGACCTGAGGGTGTTGACATTACTTCAACACCTAAAAATAAGATAGTTCACCAAGGTCTTTTAGTGAAAACTTGTTAGCCAGACTCTTGATAAATAAATCAAGATTAGATGCATTGGGCCCAGTGACAATTATGTCATCTACATACACAATGAGATAAATGGGATGTGGCATAGTATGCAAGATAAATAGTGACGTATCTGAAAAAGCTCTTTTGAAACCTAAGCCAAGCAAGAAGGTTGTGAGTTCAGTGTACCATGCCCGAGGGGCTTGCTTGAGACCATAAATGGCCTTCTTCAACTTGCACACATGAGTGGGGAAGTTTGAGTCCACAAAGCCGGGAGGTTGTGACATATATACATCTTCATAGAGCGTTCCATTCAAGAATGCATTATTAATATCAAGTTGCCGAAGATGCCAACCTTTGGTAATTGCTAGGCTAAGGAGTGTGCGAATTGTAGCCAGTTTAACTACCGGGCTAAAGGTTTCTTTATAGTCAATGCCCGGCCTTTGTTGAAACCCCTTTGCCACCAAGCGTGCCTTATACCTTTCTATTTGTCCCTCCTTAGTGTATTTGATGCGAAAAAACCCATTTGCATTTAACTAGATTTTGAGTTTGTTCCGGTGTTATCAAATCCCAAGTGCCTAATTTTCGAAGTGATTCAAGTTCCTCCTCCATCGCTTTCCTCCAAAGTGGATCTTTTAAAGCTTGAGCCACTGTTTTTGGTTCTTTGGGTCGAGATTGAACCGAGGTATTATTTGCGTACTTGGGATTAGGCTTTCTTATATTATTTTTGGACCTTGTAATGATCCCTGATGGTGGATGTTGGTTGACATTGGGTTGTGGGACTAATAATTGGTTGGATTGGGTAGTGGCAGGGGGTTGGTTATTATTAGGTTGCAAAATGTTAGTGTTTGATGATGATTGGTTTGAGGGGGTTGGTTGGCAGGGGATACGAGGAGTAGAAGGTGGGCTAGAATTGTCATGATGGTGGGTTTGTTGGTGGGCTTGTGGAGTAGTGGGCTGAATAATGGGTAAGGTTATTGAACACCAAGTATCAGGTGATGGTGGTGGAGAAGGGGAGGGGAGATTTGCTAGTCGAGTATATGGGAATCCGGTTTCAACAAACTGAACATGACGAGATGTGTAGACCCTATTCGTAGATGGGTCTAAGCAATGATAAGCACTCTGAGTTTTTGAATACCCAATAAACACACATGGTTTTGATTTTGGGTCAAGTTTATGAGAGGAGTAAGGTTTGAGCCATGGGTAACATAAACAACCGAAACTTCGAAGTTTGAGGTAATTTGGTGGAGTGCCAAATAGGCAGTGAAATGGAGATTTTCCATTTAGAGTAGGAGTAGGAAGGCGGTTAATAAGATACGATGCAGTTGTGAAGGCATACGACCAAAATTCTAAGGGAAGATGAGCATGAGATAATAAGGAAAGACCAGTTTCAACTATGTGACGATGACGTCGTTCGACAAAGCCATTATGCTCGGGGGTGTGAGGAGGTGAAGTTAAGTGAGAGACTCCATCAATGGTGAGATAGGAGGCGAGAGCTTCATACTCACCTCCATTATCTGAGTATGAAATTTTTATGTTTTGCTCAAAATATTTCTCAACTAAGGCCTTGAACCTAATGAACACAGCTTTTGTATCAGATTTCTTTTTGAGAGGATAAAACCAAATATACTTGGTAAAATGGTCAACAAAGATAACATAATACTTGAACCCATCTAAAGAATAAACTCCTCAACAATGAGAACCGCTTCAAAAGGAATCTTGCGGATGACCCTAGATGTACTCGTTGCAATCAGAATGCAGATGAGACATTGATTCACCTTCTGAGAGACTGTCCAATATCTAAAAGCATTTGGTCTAACCTATGTAGCACGACTTGTCAAGCTACTTTTTTCAATGGTGATATAACTCAATGGCTGATTAAGAATCTAGAAGCTAAGGGTCTTCATTACTCTGAAAAATGGCCTACCTTGTGGTGGATATGGAAGTGGAGAAACAGTCTAGCTTTTGATAGGGGTGATGACATTCCACAAGACACAGGAAGATTTATTCAAGACAAAGTTGAAGAGACTTGGAGAGCATATAATCCTGAACTGCAGCTTATCACCCCTGGCATTTTTGGGAGGAAGGCAAGGCATGAAATTTTTGTGAGATGGAATACTCCTCCATCCAACTGGACAGCTCTCAATACCGATGGAGCAGCAAAGGGAACTCCAGGACTGGCAGGAGGTGGTGGCATACTAAGGGACAGTGCTGGCATGTTCGTCAAAGCATTTACTGCAAATTTTGGAAGATGCAATGCATATAAAGCAGAATTGCTAGCTCTTGAATTGGGTCTTCAAATGGCTATTGAAAAGGGAATCACGAAGCTAATTGTTCAAATGATGAATAATCAAGCTTAAGCCATCAAAAGCACTGCATACCAAGGAGGCGAATGCGTCCACATCTTAAACAATTGTCGTAACTTAGTTAAATCCTTTTGTAACTTCACCTCGTTTTATTGCTTAGTTTTCTTTTCCTTTTGTATTCGGGATTTCCCTCATTTGCACCAAAAAAAAAAAATCAATGGGATTAATCTCTATCTCCGCAATGTCCAAAAATTCCTAAACCATCAACAACAATGATATATGTTCATGGGATCCAATTACATCTTACAATCACAATTAGTTGATAAGCTCCATGTAATTTTGGTTTTGTTGTATTATCGCAATTGTGCATTTTCAACATAAGAGGATTCAGAGAAAGGAAGAGACACGACACACGAGTCAGTCTACTCGGCAATCGCTACTAGGCTACGGAGTTTTTTTTTTTTTTTTTTGGGAGAGAGTGTGCAAATATTGTACCACTATACGGGTTTTATCACTGATCTTGAGTGCTCACCCGTTAAAACTTTAACTAATCTAGTTAGGTGATCGTTCATTAGTGCTCTGCTGCTCGCATGTGTATTGACTATTGTTGAAGTATATCCCACCTAATAACACAAGTAAGAGCCTCATATTGGTAAAAAAAGAGAGTTAAACACTTTATAAAGTTAAGGGGCTATTCCTACCATTACAATATGATTTTGGGATGGAACCTTCTTTGGACTTTAACGGCTGTTGAGTAGTTGAATTCAAAAGTTTTCAAAAATTTATCCAAGTCTTTTATAAAATATAAGTAAATTAATAGGAATTTGAAATATATAAGCCCAAAATTAAAGGTGTCATTTCAAATCTCTAAAATTCCCTAGCCTCCTTTTAATGATTTGTTACCTACTTGATATGATAGATGCGACAAAGACAATCTGAGGAGACAAAAATTAATTTTAGTAATGAAGAACAACACCTAACTTTAGCAAATTAATTCATTTGATACTATATCTCAAACACCAAAGAGGATTTGAAAAATTGAAATTCTTGAACGTGAAATCGAAAAGATATGAGAAAGGGTAGAAGTTAGTAAAGGTATCATTATAATTTTATTACTTATCCCTAATTTATTTCCCATACTTTCCAAACCTAGGATAAGAATTATTTATCTTTGTCCCACCTATCAATTCTCTAACTTTATCCTCCCTTTTTATCCCTCTTATTCCTATCCCTCCAACCAAACGCCCTGTATTTTTATACAACATTTATATTAACGAAAATGCTACACATAGCTCTTGGAGCTACATATAATCATTAAATTCACACTAGAAAAATCGTAACAAGTTAAGGAATCATGAAAATATAACACTAGTCAGGTTAATTTACGTGTGTTTTCGTCATGGATTCATAATATTATACAATTTTCAAGAATGTATTTAATGCTTATATTACAAAACTTCAAAAATTCTCAAAAAGCATGGATATTAGCCTTTAATTTTGGAATTTTTAATTTTTTCTCCAGGAAATAAAAATTGCCGAAATGTTTAACATGGTCCCTAATGCCTTCTAGGAGTCCAATTGGCTGGGTGGAACCATCCAATTTGCCTTTAAACGACCAATTAACAAGATCACAACTTGCACCGATTTCATTAACTCAAGCCTACCTAGAACATTTAAGACAACATATAATGATCATATATGATTTTAAACGGTATTATATGACCCGAGATGTATCCCCTAAAATAGTAAAATCTCAATTCTTTCGACACCGGACCCCGAAGCAATCTAAATTTCTCAAAAAGGATGGATATTAGCCTTCAATTTTGGAATTTTTTGATTTTTTTCACCCAAATATAAAAATTGCCGAAATTTTTACCATGGTCCCTAATACCATCAGGGAGCCCAACTGGGTGGGTGGAACCATCCAATTTGCCTTTAAACGACCAATTTATAGGTTTACAACTTACACCGATTTCATCAATTCAAGCCTACCACGAACATTTAAGACAACAAATAATGATCATATATGTTTCCAAACGAAATTATATGACCCCGAGATTTATTCCCTAGAATTTCAAGACTTTTCGAAACCGGGCTCCGAAGACTCCAAAAATTCTCAAAAATCCTGGATATAGCCTACAATTTTTGAATTCTTTGACTTTTTTTCGCCCGTAAAAAAAATGCCGAAATGTTTACCATGGTCCCTAATATCTTTCGGGAGTCCAATTGGGTGGGTGGAACCATCCTACTTGCCTTTAAACGGCCAATTTACCGGTTTGCAACTTGCACCAATTTAATTAACTCAAGCCTACTACGAACATTTATGACAACCTATAATGATTATATATGGTTCCAAATGACATTATATGACCCCGAGATGTATCCTCGAATACCTCAAGCCTTTTCGACACCAAGTCACAAAACCTCCAAAATTTCTCAAACAGCGTGGATATTAGCCTTCAATTTTGGAATTTTTTTGACTTTTTTCGCCCGCAAATAAGAATTTTCGAATTATTTACCATGGTCCCTAATACCCTCAAGGAGTCCAATTGGGTGGGTGAAACCATCCAATTTGCTTTTAAACGGTCAATCTACCGGTTTATAACTTGCACCGATTTCATTAACTCAATCCTATCAAGAGCATTTATGACAACATATAATGATCATTTATGGTTCCAAACGGCATTATATGACCCTGAGATGTAACCCCTAATATCTCAAGACTTTTCGACAACGGGCCCCGAAACCTCCAAAATTTCTCAAAAAGCGTGAGTATTAGCCTTCAATTTTGGAATTTTTTGACTTTTTTTCGCCCAAAAATAAAAATTACCGAAATGTTTACCATAGTCCCTAATACCCTCTGGGATTCCCAATGGGTGGATGGAACCATCCAATTTCCCTTTTAACGGCAAATTTACTGATTTACAACTTGCACCGATTTCATTAAGTCAAGCCTACCACGAACATTTATGACAACATATAGTGATCATATATGGTTCCAAACGGCATTATATGACCTTGAGATGTATTCCCGAGAATTTCAAGACTTTTCGACACCGAGCCCCGAAACCTTCAAAATTTTGCAAAATGTGTGGATAAAAATGTCTTCAATTTTTGAATTTTTTTACTTTTTTCGCTCGTAAATAAAAATTGCCAAAATGTTTATCATGGTCCCTAATACCCTCCGGGAGTCCAATTGGGTGGGTGGAACAATCTAATTGGACTTTAAACAGACAATTTACCGGTTTACAACTTGTTACTAACCTGACCTGAATTCAACCCGACCCGAATTTAACCCGACCTGTTACAAACCCGACCCGAAATCAACCCAGCTTGTTATTGACCTGACCCAAATTAAACTTGACTTGTTATTGACCCGACCCGAATTTTGCCAGACCTATTACTTACCCGACCTAAAAATTCAACCCGATTTGTTACTAACTCGATCGACTCGAAATTAACACGACTTGTTATTGACCCGGCCTAAATTCAACCCAAATTATTTATGACCCGATTTCAAATCACCTTAAATGCAATTTAGACCACCTTATTACTGTTAATTAAAGCATTTTGTCTAAGGAGACCAAGTCGGTCCAAACCAGCAAAATTAAAGAAAGGATGAGCATCATCCTCAAATTTAAGAGTTAAATATAATATATATTTGTTGTATGGTCAAAGGAGATAATTATCTTCCTAAATTATAGACTATAATTCCCTAGTATATTGCCATATATATTATAGTCAAAGGAAATACCCGACTTGAATCTGAGAATGACCCGACTTGGAAATGACCCAACCTGATTATAACCCGCAAATTATTGATGACTTGAACCAAACCCGACTTGAACCCAAGAATGACCCAACTTGAAAATGACCCGACCTGATTATAACCCGAAAATTATTGACTTGAACCAAACCCGACTCAAACCCGAGAATGATCCGACCTGATTCTAATCCGCAAATTATTGACTTGAACTGAACCCAACTCGAACCGGAGAATTACCATAACCCGTGAAAACCCGACCTATTGTTCACCTGACCCGAATGTAACCCGATTACCTCGACCTAAACCCGATAAGAAGTATGACCCGACGTGATCCGACTCAAGCATGACACAACCCAAACCCGATAAGAAGTATGACCCGACGTGACCCGACTCAAGCATGACCCAACCCAAACCCGACCCGCATAGGTTATGGAATTAATCTGAGTTGACCCGACCCACTCTTACCCGACCAAAACCCGACCCGTTTACCCAAATTGACAGCTTTACTTATATATAACCATTAGAGAGTTAGATCTACATATAACATTATCCATGTAATATTTTAAAAATCTACCTTATTTGAAAACAAAACGAGAGTATGTAAGATTTGGACGTATGATGCCCGATCCAAATCATGCAATGCATACCTACAAGGCAACAAGTATAACTTTGGGTCAAAAAATCCATGCTCGGTATACTGTCTATGTTAGAATTATCTTTTTTTTTTTTTTAAGCAGAATTGTCCATTCGAATTGTCACTTAATTGATGGTAAAGTAAAGACTAAAGAGCATAGATTCCTTGGAGGTAACGAAAGAACAAATAAATTCCCCAAGTTAACCCTTATAAAAAACACTTAGAAGAATCTCATTATTCCACAGAACAAAACTGAGAATATTCTATTATCCTCTTTATATCTTGTTAGGAAATCGGGTATACTTCCACTCAAATCAGGATATCTGCCTCATCAAGCATATTCCCTCATATTCCCGCGCATTTTACTTATCTTATTTCCCCATTTAATTTACGTAGTAATAATCTAACTAATTATTCCTTCAAAAAAAAAAAAAAAATCTACCTAAGTAATACCTTCCTTAATTAAACCGTCTATTTTACACCCTTGGATTAGATTGTCACACCTCATCCAACGATTCAGAATAACCCTCAGAATATCAAAATATTCTACAGTATATTCCTTAGGGAAAGTTTTCGAAGTATAAATACTTGGGACCTTTAGATTTATTACCCACAAACAAAAAAAAATCTATCAATTCTTCAAAGTTTCTGAGTTTGTTCTTGGTAATTTTTGTAAGCAATGGAGGGATTAATGGTGGTTTTCGACTTCGATAAAACGATTATCGACTGTGATAGTGATAATTGGGTTGTTGATGAATTGGGTTATACACAACTCTTCGATCAACTCGTAAAAATCATTCCTTGGAACACTATGATGGTTAGTTTTTTGTTCGATTGAATTAAATTTATGTTTTTCCTCTGTTTTTATTCTTTTGTTCATGAGATTTGACATATTGTACTTATGTTTTGTTGATCATGTAACAGGATACATTGATGAAAGAAATGCATACACAAGGCGTAACAATCGATGATATTGCACGAGTCTTGAAAAGAGTTCCGATTCATCCTCGTGTCGTTCCCGCAATCAAAGCCGCCCACGCTGCAGGGTAATTTAAATTTCTCTAGTTTATGTTCTCTTTGTCTGGAATTTACAGTCACGTTGATAATTGATACGTTCTTAAAATTTATAGTCATGTTGATATTTGATATGCTTTTAAAATTATTAATGTTATGACTAAATTTTGAATGTTTATTTACGTGTAGGTGTGATTTGAGAATTGTAAGTGACGCAAATATGTTCTTCATCGAGACCATACTAGATCATCTTGGGTTGAAGGATTGTTTCTCGGAGATTAACACGAATCCGGGTTATGTTGATGGAGAAGGAAGATTAAGGATTTTGCCGATACACGATTTTACTAAATCTCCTCATGGATGCAGTAACCCCTGCCCTCCAAACATGTGCAAGGTAATTATCTTTTGTAATTAACGATTTTTTACCAAACCTTAATAAATTAATTACTATATGTTGATGTCTAATTATATGTTATAAATTAATCTCAGGGTTTAGTGATAAAAAGGCTATTATGTGAACATGGAAACAATAAGTTCATCTATTTAGGAGATGGAATTGGAGATTATTGCGCTTCCTTAAGGCTAAGAGAAGAAGACCATGTTATGCCAAGGTTCAACTTTCCAGCATATGATATGATCTCAAGTAATCCAATGCTTATCAAAGCCAAGATCCATGGATGGGCCGACGGCGGCGATCTCGAGCGGGTTCTATTGGCTCTCATCCAAGATAATATCAACTGTGGAGATGATTATAATGTTGATCAATTATTCAAACTTGATTGCAAGCTTGAGATTTTGCCTGTTACTTCTGATATAGAGTTGCGGCCTAAGGTTCTATGTGTTCCTTTTTAGAAAGTAGCTAATTTCTGTAATACTTTTGAAAAAAGGTGAAAGAATAGTTGAATATAATTTTTGTTTGGTAAAATCAAAAGATTCAAAACTTAGAGAAATTGTTTAAGGTTTTGATCTGATGTTTATGTAATTAACCTTTGTTGCTCAATTGAGCAATTTATTCAATGGATGAAATTGTATTTTTAGTGACACTTAAAACACATACTTCTATTATTGCCAATTTGCCATCTCTAGTAACAAAAAAAAAATGTACAAATACTGGCTTCAAGCCGTTCTAGGTCAATCAATTTAACATAAATCTAATTTCTATTTATCAATGGAATTAATTTCTATCTTCGCAATATCAAATATTCAAATTAATAGTAATTCCTTTGGGCAACAGTTATGGTACAGCTTTTTCTTTTGAAACTAAAACACTTACCATTGTTAAAGCAAATTAGCCATTTAACGTCTATTACTTCCTCCGTTTCTATTTAGTTGTGAGAAATTAGGTTATTTAATATTTTTAATAAGATAATTTGGACAACCAGAATCGAGCCCCTCTCACAGGGGTGGAAGGAGAGTCTCCAACCAACTAGGCTAACCTGATTCTCATACGAGGTAAAGAGATTAGACATATTATAATTTTAAGTAGACTACGTACCACTACATACATACACTATACAATACTGATTATGAGGAAAAAAATGCTTCTCTCTAGAGTCTAGATGAAGGCGGCTTAATGTCAACAAAGAATCATTTTACGAATAATTGACTTTTCTCCTGACGTAATTTTACCGACGTAGATACTTGAGTATTGATTACCGGCCCACCGGAGACCACCGACTACTTCCTATAAAAGGAGAAAATATAATTATCATTATTATTATGCTAATTATAAATATATAATGTCCCAATTTCATCATCAACCATTAACAATCTCTCATATTTTCCTACATCAATCTCTTCAGACTCAAATATGGAGCAAACAAGTGCTCAAGACCATCCAACTTTTCAGCCTATGATAATTTGCAACTTTGCTAACTTGTATATGTGTCCTAACAACGTCCATCATCAACCACAACCTGTTATAGAGTCGAAATCGATCAACCCGAATTCCTTAAACACCATCTTTACTATCATAGCCACATTCTTACTTGGGTTGCTTCAGTTAAAGAGTCAAGGAGATCATACAATTTCCCCCTTTTCTACCAATCCTTACACTATACTACTTTCTATTGTTTGGCTTTTGTTATATTGTTGGGCTTATGCTGCTTGTTTAATATCATCACCACCAACGCCATCCTCTTCGCCGCCACCAGAGTCACTATTGATATCATCATCACCAACTACTACTTATGAATCTTACAAAGAAATGATGATTAAATTTGGGGCACTAACATTGACATCTCTAGGGTCCCTCCTTTTTCCTAGCTCAATCCAACACTATGCTCTTTATAGCATGTATGCTATAATCGGTCTAGTACTGGTTCTACATTATTGGTTAAGGTTAGGCCAATGAATTCGTCATGCACCTAGAGGAAACCTCCTTCCTTTGCATACTAGAGTCATAAGCTCATAACCTAACATGAATCCGTCGTGTTATTAAGACACTTAAATAGTAAGTGAGTCGAATATATATGTTATTCATCAAGACATATATATACTTGATCATCTAGGATCGAAAGATTGTTTGTCGGAGATTAACACGAATCCGTCGTGTTATTTTGATGAAGGAAGATTAATGTAAAAGGTGAATATATTATGCAACTGTGTATATTATGAATTTATGATATATATAGCTAGGATATCAAACCCTAATGTGTACATATGCTGTATGATCATGTCTATATTATTTAACTAGATGCAGCCCGTGCGATGCACGGTTTGTTTAATTTTTTTAAAAAAAAATTTATAAATATATTTATGTGATAAAATTTCTTATATATTTAGATAAAATTCCTGATATCAAAAGATAATATTTTATATTTAATTAATTTAAACTGGGAAACCTCATTCGCCAATTTTGCTTACGCGTCATTTAAATTATTTAATTCTAAAAGAAATTAATAATCTCGTATTTAATTGGCTACCACTAAAATTTTTTATCTTACGTGGCACGCTAAAAAAATTAAATCCTACATGGCTCTCTAAAACTCGGGAAAAATCTCTCCTTTATGTATATAATATATACTTATGAAGCCCGTGCAATGCACGGTTTGTTAGTATTTAAAAAAAATATATTTATGTGATTAAAATTGTTATTATATTAGTTTTAAAATATTAGATAAAATTCCTAACCTCAAAAGATAATATTTTGTACTTAATTAATTTAAACTTTTTGGGCAGGTTTGAGGTGGATTTGGGTGAAGCCGTTGCAATGCGGCAGTCACTTGTGATTGCTTTGGAGGCTGGGTACAGGAATTTCATCCTTGAAACTGGTAATATTAAGTTATTCCACCATATGAAGAAGGGGATCACGCTTTCAACCGCCTTTGGGAATGTGATACGGGACATTTTTAGTCTTGTTTCTCAATGTGTTTTGTGTTCCTTTTCGTTTGTGAAAAGAAAGGGTAATTGTGTTGCACATAGCTTAGCTAATCTTAGTAGTTCTTTTAGTGAGTTCAGAGTTTGGTTAGAAGAGTATCCCCCGGAAATTTATGGGGCGATTTGTAATGATCTCGAACTTTTGTTGACTTAATAATATGCTAAGCTACGGTTGTGTCAAAAAAAAAAAATTAACTTTAAAATCTCATTCGCCAATTTTTCTTACGTGGCATTTGAATTATTTAATTGTAAAAGAAATCTACGTGGCTCTCTAAAAACTTGGGGAAAAACTCCCCTTTATATATATATATATATATATATATATATATATATATATATATGCACGGTTTGTTTGATTTTTGTAAAATAATTTTTTTTTGTATTAATATGCTAAAATTTGTTATATATTTAGATAAAATTCCTAATATTAAAAGATAATATATAATATTTAATTAATCTAAACTTAAAAATTTCATTCGCCAATTTTGCGTACGTGGCATTTTAATTATTTAATCCTAAAATAAATTAATAATCTCTTATTTAATTGGCTACAACAAAAATTTATAATCCTACGTGGCACACTAAGAAAATTAAATCCTACGTGGCTCTCTAAAAACTCGGAAAAAAACTCCCCTTTATATATATATATATATATTAGATTCTTTTAGGAGATGGAATAATTGAAGATTATATATTGCCCTAGCTTCAATTCATTATGTTATGCTAAAGTTGAGTTATCCGGCTTATGATCTGATCTCAAGTGATCCATGTAATTTTAGCAAAGCCAAGATCCGTGAGGTCGGCATCGAATAGGTCTTTGTAATTATTGTTTTGCAATGGTAAAGACGCTACGGAGTATAAAGAATTTCTTGATTTTCCCTTTTTTCATTTTTTATTATTATTACTAGATGTAAGCTCGTGCGTTTTTAAATATTTTATTTTGTATATTTTTTTGTAATTTCTTAATATTTTTTGTTTTTATTATCTATTCTATTATTTTAACATTAATTTAAGGTAAAATATTTTGTTAAGTTTTAAATTATTTTTATTCAAATTTTGCGTATATAGAACTTGAATTTATAAAGTTAGATAAAATCATTAAATCAAAATATATTTTTTAATTTCTAATTATTTGTTAAAATAATAGAAATCCTAATGTAAAAGATAATATAAAAGATTTTTTTTTATTCATAATTTAAATCTTAAATTACTATTTTTTGTTTTCAATTCTCAAATTTCATTTGTTAATTTTTTCTTAAATGGCGCCTGAAAATTAAAATTCTAAATTAATATATAAATCTAATTTTTCATTGGTCGAAATATTACTTTTGCTTATGTGGCGTGCGATCACGAATTTTTATATACATTTTGTATATAAATATTTTTTGGTGATCTCTTAATTTTTTTTTTTTGAAACAAATCAATTCATTAATAAAAAGTCATCCGACATCTACAAATGAAATCTAAATTAACAAATACATAAAATTGAATCAAATTAGGTTTCCTTCATCAGAGCTACGATCGTTGAAAAGATCTTGCACTGTGGTACATCTCTCGCACACATCGCTTGAATATACAGCCTGTTCGGAGAGACGGTCTAACGATTTGTTGTAGCCGTAAGGATGATTCTCATCTGATTCGCTTGAACGCATTTGAAAATTTGACAACCGTTGCGATCCTGAACAAATCTTTACCAAAGAACTGACAATGGGGCAAAAGATGATTACTTTTTTGATGAACCCTAACACACAAACAAATCCTAAAAAAAAAAAACAAACAACTAAATTAAACTAACAAAAACAAACGACTCCACTATAGGGAGACGGAAGAATATCTACACTCCTTGTGTAGATTTATTGAAACCCAAATTGCAAAACTAAATAAAATTAAAGGAAATTAAAGGAAAATTAAAGGAAAAGGGTCGGAAATGTAGTCTAATTTCCGAAGAAATTAGACTATTTCCGGCCTAAACGACCAAGATTTTAGAAAAACCCTAGAAGAGAGGAGGAGAGGAGAGGAGAGGATCTAATATTGACCACTTCACATATTTATCTCTTAATTAACATCAAATGATAATTTATATTTTTTAAATATCAAAATATAATTTTTAGTTTTTTAAATAATATAAATCCTAATATCTAAAGATAATTTTTAGTTTTGTAACAAATAAAAATGATAAAATTTAGTGTTTATAAATAATTAAAATCCTAATAAATTACTATTCGTTGTTTTTACCTACGTCGCAAAAATTTAAAATTTCATTCGTCACTTTTGTTTAGGTGGCGAGTGATTTTTTTAATTCTAAAATAAAATAGAAATCTAATTTTTAATTGGTCAAAAATATGCCTTTTCTTATGTGGCCCTCCCAATGCTCTCCAAAAATGCCTACTTTATTTATATATATATATATATATATATATATATATATATATATATATATATATGTATATATATATATATATTAGATTATTATTATTATTTATAAAATAATCTCTTACTTGCAAAATTTCATCATACTATGCGCATGATTATAAGCACTATAAGCAACTAGGGATTACAATATAAGTGGAGCGAGTAATAAAATACGGAGGTTGTGAGATCAAATTCCACTAGAGACACTTTAGGGTGGGGATTCTCTTACCCTTCCTTGAATTCCCCCCTCCCC